TTATTAATGTTTTGTGCAGGAGGCGCTGTTGTAGCTGCTGTTTCTAACTTGTCTCTTCGCTTTTTGCTTTGTTTTTGCATGTTCCCTTAGGTTTCTTATTCCAATTTAATTTCCGATTAAATTTGGAGTAGGATAGACACTAGGAGGGAAATCTAAGCATGATAACAAGTAGGCTAGTCCCTTTAACCTCAACCTTAGGTCCATCTTTTGCATGCTAATATTAGGATGTAATCTCCTTTCACATCCCGACCTTAGGACCACTTTGCATGACAATGTTAGGGTCGGGTTTCCCTTAGACATTCTGTGCGTCTCTCTTCTCATCTTAAAACACTTTCTAACTCATCTAATAAACACGATGAACATTATACGCTACGAGCCTTAACCACATGGGAAATGATGAGTGGGGTTTTCTCCTCACTTGTCTAGAGTGTTTAGCATATGCTCTTAGGCCGATATGCAACGCATTCACTCCTATGTTATAGTCTTTAGTGCAACGTGAATCACAAGGAAAACTAATTCACTTCACTAAAACTCGCAAATCAAATTCAAGCCTTTTTATCCTACGGGATTTGTGTTTTAAAATAATTTTTAGAAAAGAGTACGTTACTTTTCCGTTCTACCGTAAACAGACATCGACCCTAACTGCTAGAATGGGAGTTTAACGCCACTCATAAAAAATGCCTACCCAACCTGTGGTTTCGTTACCCGAACTACGTTTGCTCTGATTTCTCGTACCAGATGAGGATACATAGGCACAAGACGACGATGTCTTGGCGAGCAACCTTTCCCCCCATCACCTGTAGTTTTTCGAACTACGTTGACTCTGACTTTTCCATTGCACGGGGGAATACATAGGCATAGGGCGACGATATCCTATCGAGTCTCTTTCTTTTTCTTTTCTTCTCGTTTCCACTTAGTAGTAGCTTATAGATAAACACACCCTTTGATTAGACAACAAGCATGGATCTCATTGAATCAAACGGACGTGAGGGGTGCTAATACCTTCCCCTTGCGTAACCGACTCCCAAACCCAATATTTGGTTGCGATGACCTTGTCTTCTCCCGTTTTCAGGTTTTCTTTGATCATTTTATTTCCCTCTCTTTGGGATAAATAACGTTCAATGGCGACTCTTCTGTTTTTCTGCCGGGTGTTTTTCGGAGTTGCGACACATCAAACCCTAATACTTAGATTTGCATCTTTATCCGTTTAAGCATTTTTGCTTGACTTGTTAAATAGATTGTCATTGTGAATAAGTTGTCATCATCGAAACTCTAAAAAAAACGAATGTCCTTTGTTAAAGACATATCACATGCAAAACAAGGTTCTGCATAACAATCACTACCGACATTTTTATTTTGAGGATTTCTTGGTATAAATTTTTGTCTATTTTGTGTCACTTATTTATCCCGCCTATATGCCAGTTATCTAATGGATACTTTATTTATAGGTATATTGTGGATAATACCTCCTCTAGGACGTTGAAAACGGGGGGTACATATGATTATGTTATATGATGAGGGTGCGTTCACATCAAAGTATTTGAATTTTATGGATTTGACATTCTCACACAATCTAAAAATGGTTTTAATGTAAATTTAGCCTCAAACTTGTACCTACTCGCACGATGAGTCTACCAGGGAGCCTTTAAACGGTTGTACGTGTTCCATTAGAGGATATCCGAATTAACATCTGAACGATGATAACCATGGGATTATCTTCATGGGTTGAGGTTTTAAGTATCTTTATCCGTTTGCGATGTGCATAACTTAGAGGTGTATCTTTGGCATAACTTTCTTTCTCCATTTAATCCGCCTGTCTCTCCTCTGGTTCTTTTTTTTCTTATCTTCTTTTTCTCACACTACTATAAAATAGACTTTTCGTAACACCCATTTTACAACGACCTTTATATTAATCGTGGTTATAATTCTTTTTTGGGTGTTTTTTTTGTATTTAGTAAAAGACATTTCACTACGGTCATAGTTAACAACCATAGTGAAATTTATATGGGACGAAAGGGTTTGAATCCCAACACCAAGAATTTTCTATTTATAGTTGCATAATGGGCTTAACCTTGTATATCACCTTGGTTCTTATAATCAACTATGGTGTATGGTGCAATCATTTCATCACGATTCATATTATCAACCATGGTGAAATGTGTTACATATTTATATATAGACGAAATTATCTCCCGCTTTAGTACATTACAGCCATCTCTCTCAAAATAAAACCCTAACATCTTTTTCACTCGTCTCTCTTAAAACAAAACTCTAACATCTCTTTCACCTGTATCTCTCATATGGAAAATCCAAACTTATGCAGCGCACTCGTCTTCTTCGAAAGGTTACCTTTATTGCATAAAATCTTACCAAATGGCTACCTTATAGGTTTGTCTTCACAATAGTTTATGTTTCAAAATCTATTTATGTATTATTATTTATGTTTCAATAGTTTGTTTTATAATGTTTGAACTTTCAGCTTGTTTTGACTTGTAGGTAGGGATACTTGTTTCAATAATGAGGATGAAGCTAAAGTGAGCACTGAAAACTTGTGCGAAAGACCTAGAATGACATCCATTCAAAATTAACATAGATTTGCAGCTCTCACTTCAGCTTCATCCTCCTTTCATTGTGGATGTCATTATGGGACATGAACGTTTCTGAAACATTCTATGAGTTGATATGTAGTAGTTGTTGTTGATATTAATAAAAGTTGTATGTTATAGGTAGTTTATGATATGTGTTGACGATTTTGTTGTTAATGCTTGTTTAAAAGATGAGTTTATTATATTTTATATGGTTTGAGTGTTTTTCCGACGATCCCTTATTGAATATATAAGTTTTCAGATTACATTAGAAAATTATAATAAGATAGATAAAGTTTTATCAGAAAATAAGTACATGTTCAATTCTAGACAACAATTCTTCAGCTCGTTCTCTGTATTTTGTTCTTTAACTGTTAGAACTTTATTTAATGCTTATAGTTCTTCAAACGCCCCTTTCTCCACCTCTATTTTTTTTTTTGAAAAGTAAATAATATTTTGCAAAACGAACTAGAAGTGAAGGAATAGGAGGTTGAAAAACTAGGAGCATTAAACAAAGTTCTAACTGTTAAAGAGAAAAATATAGATAAGGAGTTGAAGAACTCTTGACTAGCATTGAATGTGAAATTTTTCTTCTAATATAACTTATTTGTCATATTATAATGTTCTAGATCAGATTGAGAGGTTATATGTTTAGTGAGAATTGACAAAATAAACATTCAATATAACTTATAATAAACTCAATGTATATATCACAACGGTTGTTTATGCCAACTGTTGTTAAATGTTATGCCTCAAAGAATATCACAATGGTTGTTTAAAGTAACAGTTGTGGTAGGTAGCGCGCTACATAGCTTATAATCATGGTCGCACGAATGTGGTGAAAATCATCATACATACAACCACCCCTCACCTCACAACGGTTGGTAAGGTGCGGTGGTATCCCTTTTTCCAACCGTTATGAAATGACTTTTACATAGTGGTGTCAATTCAGAGTCATACAATGCTTCACCGATAAATCTTCTCAAGTGCCTATTTTGGATAAGGCACTTTATCTCCTTTTTTTGCTAGTTTTAATCATCCGTGTTGTGACCCTTGATCTTATGATATTTACACAATTTATTATGCTTTTTTCCCATCACCTCCCACTATATGGAGTCGGAGATTCAAGGATGGCTTAGTATGAAGCACCTCCCGCCAAATTTTTTCTATGACTGGCGCGTCCTAGATCTTGGCCAATAGACAGCGAGGGTTCATGAGCTCTATAGTTGTCATTCAAATGACGTAACTCTTTCATAGCGACTTACATCTCTATTATGACATCTAGGTCATTATTAATAGAGGCGACCCTCACCATTGCGGAGCGGTGATTAGGCTACCAAAAATTCTTAATATATAGTATGGAGCATGTCACTTTTACCAAGCCTCGTGGTGGATGCAAAATGTATTCGCATAAAGTACAATAGTAGAGACTTTGCTTGTGATAAATGAAACTAATGATCTTTTAGGGTTACTAATATATGAATAACTGACGATCTAATCCAACTAGGATGATCCTTTAGTCGAGCGTGGCGAATGACTCTCTCATTCAATACAAGTGGCATAGTTTAGTCAATCCAAAATTAGGGATTGTTAGCGTCATATAGGATGGTTTCTCTATTGTTGAAGAGCGTTTAGGGAGTCACCTCAATTATGTCATGTGATGTGGTCGGTTCATCCGACTTTTTCATGTGATGAGTCATTAGTGAGTTGTAACTCAACATAAACTTTGATTAAAACATAACGGTTTGCAATTTCTCAAAAACGAAACCTATAAGAACAAAGTGATATAAGAAAAACACGCCCAAACGATTATGATTCTATAAAAATTTAAATAAAAAAACACATAAAATGATAGAAAATCTTTGTGGTCATGAAAGATAGGAAAAATAGTGTCAAATAGTCAATACAAAACACACACACATGCAAGTCTCACAACACACGGAATGTTACTTTTGCATTCAAGACAAAATAAGTAAATGATGCATGGTCCCAACCAATAGATAACTACTATGCCACACACATGGCTTTGCTTTTAGAACTAATAGTACATAACACACAAGAAATAAGAGAAATAAAAATCTAGTGCAATGATTCTCCTCGTGTTGTTTTTTCAGTTCCCTCGTGGAAAATTAAATTTAAATTCCAAATCAGAATAAATCAATACATAAAAATCACATTTTATCACAAGACTTATATGTTTTTCTCTATTTCCATTTTCTCACTCTCTTCTCTTCTATTACGGTTTCTCTTCTTTTCTTCACCTTCTCTTTCTTTCCAAATATAAACATAATTGTCCTTTCCTTATTTTAAGTCATTTTATCAAGCAATGGTTGAAAATTTTGCCTATATATACCAAACACTCTCACTATGGTTTATACCAAGAGTTGAAGTAGTGATTTTGATAACAATAAGAAAATGGAAGGAAAAAATAACAAAAATGATTCTTCTTCTTCTTCTTCATTTGTTTCTGAGCTCTCTTGCTCCAAAGAGACACACTCATCTCCTTCTTCTTCTCCATCCCCTAATGAAGGGAGAGACAAAGCTAGCATGGAGAAATGGGACTCTATACTTGGAACACCTGGTAATATATATATATATATACACACTCTTTTAGACTTTGTTTTTGCATTTTTTTAAAGTTAGATATATCTAGGTTGATCACGGTTCAGTCCACTCGATTCGGTCTGATTTTAGTTTCGGTTCAGTTTGCTTGTCATGTGGGTCGGTTCTAAAACTGTTTATATAATATGATTCGATTTATTAACCAACCATAACAATTCAATTATGTTAGCTTTAACTCGATTTGGTTTGGACGGTTCGGTTCGATTCGGTTTAAGGTTTTTTAACAACCCTAGATATATCATAACAATCTTTTTCAAGTGATTTGTGGGTTATGTTTGGCTAAAGGTATAAAATTAAATATTTTAATAAGATAAAATTTTGACAAAGTAACTTAATTAATAACTACATTTATATATTTTTTTATCACTTTTCACATGAACATAGATGTCATTTTCAAGGCCTGTGGTGGTGGATCTCAGAAAATAGAAACTGCAGATAAGAGTTCCATATATCAAGATCAAAGAATTGAACCATGTAATCTCAGCTCATCAATATTTTATGGTGGCCAAGATAATATTCCCCATGCTCAAAATACTCAAAATGAAGGGAAAAACTTATGGGTAACTAGTAATTTTTTTTCTTTCAATTATTGATATAATATATAATATTTTATTTTTTAAATTTTCCTTTTATCAATTAAATTAAAATTAAGAGTTAAGAATTGGTTATTTTATTTTGTTTTATTAAGTATAAAAATAAATATATTATATCTAACATAATAATTTTTTTTGCATAACAGGCCAAAAATGTTGTTGAAGATGATGATTTGGGAATTGCTTCAAGAGGAGATTGGTGGAAGGGTATGATGTATATGACAGTGTCTTAAAGTTTGTACTATATGATATGACTTAATATTAACATTCTCATTATTTTATTGTTTTATTATCTTTTTTATCTACAGGGAGTCTCTATTATTAAAATCATCATTGCCAGCTATATTTTCTCTACAAGGTACATAATCTTCTGAACCTATATAATATATATATAAAAGATGTTGACTTTCACATTGCCACATTTTCCTATACTATGTGTAATGCGTAAGTGTAATTATATATACTTATTACTATTTTATATAATTATTGTTATTTTTTTCTTTTTGCTAAATATGTTTAAATTTTAATTTGGATTTAATGTTGCAGGATAGAGAGAAAAGGATGTTATGTGGAAACTGAACAACGAATAAATATGAATTTGCAATTAATTATTTGTGGAACATTGTATTGTATTATCCGAAGGAAATCAGGGTTTTATTTTTATGTTCTAATTTTAATAGATAAAATTTCGGTTTTCATTAAATTCGGTTAAGTCAGTTTGGTGGATAAATCGGACCAGTTTAATTTGTTTAATATTTATTAGAGAAAATCTATAAAAAATAACTATTTTTATAAAATTTATAAATATTTATTTTTAATTTAAAAAAAAATCAAATAATAGTTTAAAGAACTATTTTTTATTATTAGAAAAATATATTATTATGTGATTGTCATGAAATTAATCAAAATAAAATAAAGATAAAGAAAAAGAGAATAAAAAAAATGATATTATATTTGTATTATCGGTTGTCCTTCAATATTTATAATGTTATAAATCAAACGCACTTTAAATCTAAGAGAAAAAAGAATGTAACATATTTTTACACGGTCAATCAATAACAAATATATATTCTGCTATTTTATATTTTTATTTTTAAAATACTATTATGATTTAACACTTTAAAATAATTTTATTGAATATTTATGTAATATTTCTTTACACATTACACTATTTAAAACTCTTAAACCTAATTATCTACCAGCAACTAATTTGCATTGAGAAAAAAAAAAACACTAATCGAACCGTAGATAATTAGTTTCCATAGCTAATACTCTAATACAAAATAAAATAAAAAACTTATCATTCTTCACCGAAAGCAAGAGACTGAAATATAGAAAATATTTCTCAGAAAAAAGAAATAATAATTGCAATTTATTAATAATCAAGTTATAATATAACAAATAATTACTTAAAACATGGACTATTATCTTACATTCCTCTAATTTTTAAAGTTGCTTGTAATTCTCAATTAAAAGTAATTTATTAAAGAAAAAACTAAAAGTGAATCTATAATTGATGATTTACTTGATACTTTAAAAAAAAAAAAACTATAAATACTAACAAAGAGTTTTCTGGGTGTGAGACTGTTGCACTATTCATTCATCATTCATTTTCGATGATTAAAAGTAGATTCAAATGTTTCTTTTTTTTACGGGTAGACTCATATTTTATAGTCGAGATTGTTGGAAAATCCAAAAAATAAATAAATTATATGGGTGCGAAAGCATACCTATAAAAATTAAAAATAAAACTCACAAATTTATTATTCCACTTTAAATTTTTACAAAATAAAATTACAAACTCTCATATTAAATAACAATTTTTAAAGAGAAAATTGCAAACTCTCCAAACCCTCTCTCAATTACAATTTTTTGACAGAAAAATTATAAACCCTCTCTCAATTAAAATATTTGGGCGAAAAAATTGCAAACTTGTCATACCCCAAATTTGTCCTACCATTCTCAACTTTTTCTTTGTGAGATTATCTGGCCTTTGACCATAATCTTTTGAGAATTAAGTCATAGAATCTTGTGTTCATGCTCATTATGACTAACTAGTTTGTGCAGATACGTTAATTTCAAGTGGAGATAATACCTATTCCCTCAATCAAGTACTTTAAGACATGATCAATGGATTCTGATGCAAAGGGTCCTAGGGTTTTCTACTGGTCATTTTTCTCAAGATTCTCATAAACTTCAGTGTATATCTCAAGCAGAATTAGAGTTTTCTTTCTATTGGTGTTGAACATGGTCATTTAAAGACTGGTTATGATTTTCGTGGCAAGTAGCATTTATAAGTGGTATCTTTATTTCTAGGGATTCCTCAAGACATGGCTTTTGTACTAAGATCATCATCATCTAAAGGATTGTTTGAATTTTTTTTAAGTCAAAGTGTTTCATGTTGATTATGGATTAAGATCTTATCAGAATGAATGTAATTGATCTGTGATTAAACTGAAGATTAATGCTAACAAATTCATGGATTCAAGAATGTTTCAAATGACATCAAGTTCTTAAGTCAAAGATGGAAGAATGTTTGTGTGAGTTTTTCTTGGGATTCGAGTAACAAGTGGATTGTTCAAAGTTCATCAACCATTATCCACATTTCATATCTAGATTTTCCCTTTACCACTTTCATATCCAAATCCAAATCTTTCTTATCCAATTATTCAAATTCATAATTCATTTTTTAACCCTTCATTATCCATTTCTCCATAATCGTTATCCACATTTCATATCCATATTTTCCTACTATCCAACTTAAACCATTTTCCATAACCATTATCCACATTTCAAAATCCATTTCTCCTAACCATTATCTTAATATCCAACTTAAATCATTTTTCCATGTCCAAATACATATCAAATATCCAATTTTCAATCCATTTCCTAAACCTACATCCCTTCTTGAATCCCCTTTTCAAAAATCCAATCCAATCCATTTCCTTAAAACCATAAACCATTTGTCTAAAAAATCCAAATCAAATTCCATGTTTGGTTTAAAGTTTCATGATCATTTTTCTTACAAATCAAGCTCATTCTAAGATACAAAATTCAAATACAAGGCATCATTTCAAGTTATCATGAAAATTCAAAATTTTGAAGATTGAATTCCAAGATTTAAGGTGCTCTGGTCGATTCCAAGATTCATGTTTTTCATAATATTCAAGTTGAAAGAGGCAAAACTCAAATTCAAATCACAAAGGGCAAAGACAAAAAAAAGGTTTCAAATTTTACACCACAAAACATCAAAGCTTGATACTCATATGTTATTCCTAAAATTGTCTCCAAATACAAGTCATATTTTTCCATGACATAAATAACAAGGGCAAGATGACTATGACATGAAGACAAAGAAGGATTCCTCTTAAAAATGCACGAGAATGTGAAGAAGTTTTGAATCAAGGACATATGACCGCAACCGGGGTCTTTTAAGCTTGAGAAGATGTTGAACTTATTTGCACCAATTGAAAAAGGTTTTGGGCCTTGAAGTATGCAAGCATGGATTGTAAGATTCCGGAACTTGAACTACCTTCCTCCACATAGCATGTTCTCACGATGGTCCTATTTTGGAGAAGCCGTGAAGAATTTTTTAAATCATAAACTCTTTGCAAATTACAAATCCATGATCATTAAAAGGCTAAAACACAACCAGGTTGCACTTGACGATTTGAACAAGAAAAAATCTGAAAATGTATGGACATGTTTGAATCGAAATAGAAACAATATTATCATCATAAAAAACATGTTCCAACAAGCTTTAAATCTTTCCAAAAACAACATCCAAGCATGTTCCAATTGAAAATGGCAAGTCTTGAACAACATTCACACATGGAAGAGTCAAGGAATCAAATTCATATTCTTTCCAAAACAAGAGCCAACAAAGTGATTTTTCACATTCATTTCGAAATCAAGAGTTTCAATGCACAAGGCCTATAAAGAGACACAAACTGGAAGCAGTAAGGGAGAAAATATTGACACGGAAAATCATCAGAAGAATCATATACGAACACAACAGGCTCATACACAGCGAGAAGGAGAAAAGCAGTCACAATACCACTCACCTAAAAATTAACAACAACAACATATCCACTCACATTAGTATATCCTTTTAATATAGCAAGAAACCTACCATAATGGAGGTCAAGATTTTTTTTTCAAAAGATAGTTGAAAATCCTTGTGATGGCCTTCCAATACTCACCATTTGGATTGCTAGTAAATATACTCATTTTACTATGTCGGGTCTAATACATTGCATCAGATACATTAGACAAGCAATTGCGCTTGCATATTCCAATTGAGTTGTATCTCTTCCATCATTATTTTGAAGTTTAACACTAGGATCAAATGGAGTGGTTACTTTCTTAAAGTGTGAGTGTTTGAACTTGTGAAATATTTTCTCAACATAGTGTGTTTGACTAAATTCATAACCCCCACTATTTTACTTTACTTTGATCCCTAAAATTATGGCAACTAGTCCAAGATCTTTTATTTTGAATGTGGAAGTTATAAACCTCTTTGTTTTTAAATTTCATTCATCTTGTTGCTAAATATAAATAATGTAATCAAAATTGAGACACGTGAATACCAAAATGTTCTCAAACAACTTTGTATACAAACACTTGGCACAAGAATTAGATGAAGAAAGATTTTTGATGATCATGCATGGCAATGTAAGAAGGTTTTTAGATAAAGTGATAAATGAAATTTTGAGCAATTTAAAGTAGTATATTATTAATTGCAATAAACACCTTAGTTATTTTTACTTCTCTCAAATCTTCATTTGAATTTGTATGTTCAACCTTCTTGATCAACTTTATCATTGATATGATGACACTTTTGATCATTTCTATTTTGATAATCTTTGTCTTCATCAAAACTGAAATAGATATAAGATGTATTCTTCACAATCTCTCCCTTTCGATGATGACACACTCTTTGAATTCGCGTTTTGATAAGATTGAATAATCTCTACCTAAGATGTGTGTCTCACATTTCATTGGTGAAACTTGTAATGAAGAGTCAAACTTTTGATGCCATTATTTTGGTGCTTGTTTTAATCCATATAATGATTTGACAAGCATGCACACTTTTTGTTCATTACCAGGAAGCACATAACCTTCCATTAGCTCCATGTAAATGTCCTCACCGAGATCTCTATTTAGGAATGTTATTTTGACATCCATTTGATGAAATATAAGGTCATGCAAAGAAGTTAATGCAAACAATACTCTAATTTTTGGTGTGCTTGCTATAAGTGCATATGTGTAAAATTGATAAACACCTTCTCTTTATCAAAAACTCTTGGTCATTAATCTAGACTT